GGAAAAAAAAGAAAAAGCTTTGTCTACTATTCAGTCACAGGCTTTAATGGGATAATCAGCCACATGACTGGGAGAGAAAGTAGAGAAGGCAGGTTGTTTCTCAAGGGTGCAATGCTACAACCTTTCTCGCATGAGTCTCATTTTCAGTGCGAGCATTATGCTGTTGTTACTTGCCTGCTTGTACATGCGGCTTGCAGATACTTTCTGTTTTTCTGTCCATTTGAAGGGGGAAAAAAACATCGTTCCAAAGCCACTCTGTGCAGCCTCTTCTCCCATTACCCAGGATTTCATTATTCAGGATGTCGTCGTTTAAGCTTGAAACCTTGCACAGACATAAAGTTCGGTCTGATCAGGAAGAACACTTAAGATGTCCCCTAAACTCCCCCGTTGTAAAAAAGCTCAGATTCTTCTGTGAGTGACTGAATTCCTGGTTCGAGGTCAGCTCGGTGTATCTGAAATGCATACAAATGGGAGAATTAGACCTGCATCAATAGTAAAGGTGTTTCCTACCCCCTACAAGTCAATATTACATTGTACACCAAGCTTAAAACATGATAGAGAAAAGCAAAATGAGATGTTTTAGCTGGTTTTCAATGTTACTTTCTATAGCCAAATACTGAAAAGAAATGTTCTTTTAGATCACAGGGTGATAATTTCTATCTTACATTATTCCAACATAGTGTGGCAATTGCTCTTTGATATATTGTGGCTGGATCATGAATACTACTGAAGACGTCCACTGCTTTTGTTCACAAAATGAAGAGGAAAAAGACCTAGTCCACCTGTATTTTCACTCATAATTTTTTAGAAATTCAGCCTCCTAGTCTTGGTCTGTCATTGCCACGGTAAGATATCAAGTAGGGGCATCAGACATTTAAAGCTATTAAAGGAAGCCTCTAGAATCTGTACTGTTGCTCTTTGGGATTTCCTAGCAAAGTAATTATGGACTAGAGAGTGATGGCTGAGAGAGGAAATGGTTTCAGCAGGCAATTTAGGAAGAAAGTCTTCTGTCCATTTTAAGGCTAAAAAATAGTGTTCCAAGGTTCATAGTTGGTTGGAAGTCCCTTTAGAGACTGCAAATAAGGTTATTTCCTGGGGTTACTGGGATGGCAGTTAGGAGGTTGGCAAGGCATGCAGGGAAGGGGCAGGCATTTATTTGAAAAAGATCTCGAGTGAGAACACAAAAGATTCAGAGGGACGAGGAAGGAGAGAGAACCTTCTCACTAGTTCATTTGTCTAATATACTGGCTTTTATTTTGGACTCTCACACGAAGTAAGCTGTCAAGGGGGATCTCATCTACTCCAGAAGTGCTAGCAAGAAATGTTAAAAGGAGTTTGTTTCATCTTAGAAACACTTTCTCGTTCTATCACAGAATATTTGATGTAAAAGGAGCCTATTACTAATCACTGGAAGGATTCCACCCTCTTTTTTTTTTCTGTGATGAAACGCCTGCAAACCTAATAGTAAATCTCGTGTCATTTTAAACCTACTGATTCTTTGCTACTTGGTCTGAGATTCCTGGCCCTAGTCATTTGGTTAGCATTACATACAGCAATTGCATTACATAGAAGAGGGATCTATAGCAAGCCTGGAAATGCACTTGCCTTCCCCAGTTGTGGATATATGCTTAGGAAAACTGGTATCATCATTCCCAGTACAGCAATGCTCACCAGTATTCTCAGGGTATTTAAAGAGTACGTCTTTTGGTGGTTGCTGTCAGGTTAGGAGGATACCTTATTCAAGGTATAACTGAGATGTTTGACTCAGACCAGACTACCCCATAAAACAAAGGGCCTTTAAATTCTCCATGTAAAACAGTGTTTAAGCTAGGGTGCTGAAGTTAATAAACCATTTTTACATTCCCTGCTGGTATTTCTTGTCCTTTATTTCCTAGATGCTTGTTGTTCCCAATTTCATGCTTTCTGCCCCTTGGTGTGTGGTTTTCCTTTTGTTATAATATTATTCTGTACCCTCATGTCACCCATACACTCATCACAATACAGGATCGGAGATTAAGTGATGAAGGTGCTATGACTGCTTTGAAATAACTCAGTTCTTTAATTCAAATGTCTTGGATTACTTTTTCCTGTTGCGGTCATATTCAGTTGTTCTGGGGAGCACTATACTTTATACACAGTTATTAAACAACAGCATTTCTTACTGTATTAGCACTTAGCACCTTCAGTCGAAGATTCTTCTGGTTCTCCATTTAGATGCCTCCATTGCCACTGACTATGCTATAACCCCTTGTACTAATGCAAGTAAAACCACACAACCAGGAAAAATGGACAAACACAAATAAATACTACTCAGCAATTCAAAGCCTCCTACTCCTTCAACCTGCAGTTTTGCTTCTTACCATTTTATAAAGTGTAGAATGACTTTGGGAAATTAGTGCTGTCCCAAGCAAGACTCCTCTGGATAGTGCTGTTTCTTTTACTGCCTAAGAAAAATACCATTTGAGTTAGCGCTGGCTGAAGCTGTAAATGCTCCACTCGTGCCCTTTTGCTTGTAGTCTCTAGAACTCCATGCCGCAATTCACCGAAGGCCAAAATATCTACTACGGTTTCTTACTAAAACAGAAGCTACCTTCTGTCTAGTAGCAAGAATTTTATTAGTGGCTCCCATGGTCTCAGAAGTGGAGGTGACCATGGCCACATTACACAGCTCACCTAAAATGGCAACAGCTATTTTAAACTAGTTCAGTTTTTCAAAGGCCTGATTTGTTTGGAGTGCCGAGCTCCTTTTGCTCCCACTGGCACCACCTACCTTATTTCCCCACCCTCCATAGGGCCTCCCACTGCAGCCCCCCTAATTTTAACATGTTCTCCCTCCCAGATGTCAACTCCCTACTCAAAAACAGAGAGATGCTTAAGTTTCTCAACTAAATGGTTGTAATATTTTTCTTTCAAACTACAGGCAGGACAAATTCTTCTCCTATCCCTTTCCCAAAACAACTGAACCTTTCAAAAAAAACACAAGCTTGGCCTGGAAAATTTCAGCTTAAACACAGAAGTTATGGGGTGGGTGGTAATAAAAAGCAAAACAAAACAGGATCCTATTATGAGAAGTTCAGAACAATTTTAAATGTAAGCATTGGTACCTGTTGTGCTTATGCCACCACTTGGTCTGATACGCTGACAGCAGTAGGGGTATGTATCAGAATGTATATCTGGCCTTGTTGGTAAATGATGTCTAAATGTCCTGAGCACTTTCCAGGTACATAAGAGGGGACATGGATCACTGGTGGGTAAATATGCACAGCCCTTTGTTAATGGATGTGTAAAATACCCAAACTAGAGTCCCATGGGCTAATCATTCCCTGCAAGGCACAACCCTTCCCCCTAATTCTAGTATGGAGGAGCAGTGCATAAGCTATTCCACTCTCCCCTGGTACAGGTCATCCCTCAAGATGCCCTGCCAGAGTCACAAGCAGCACAGGCTTGTGTTTGAGGGGGCTTGCATCACTAGGGTTAGTAGAAAAAAAGAAATCTTGTATTTGTGCCGCTGTGACTGCCCATAGGAGACATTGCACTGGAGGGGGCCTTGTGGCCATGCATAAAGGAAGGGCCCAACCCCACCCAAAGGACCTGTCCAGTGCAACAGGGTGATCCAGTGGTTGCACTAGGGCTGCAAGACAGAAGTTCCTAGTTCCAATACAACTCATTCAACCTGTTCTCAACACAGAGTTCTGCTTACTTGGAAGAAAAAGAAACCCGGCCAACATGACGGCATCCCCCTTTGCCTACCTTGTCTCCAGCTTTCCATGACACTCCTACTACTTTGCCATTTTTGTCCAGCACTTCAATTCCTTTGTCCATCCTGGTCTTTCTGACAGAACTTGCATTCATTGCAGCCATAACACCTGTGAAGTTAAAAGCTACTCTTAAAACTCTGTTTTAAAAAGCCACTTTTTAAAACAGAGGACCACTTTTTCAGCGGGCGTACAACAAATTACGCCCTATCGCTTTAGAAAGCTAACCACCTGTTATCTCATTTGTTCCATCATTAGTGGCTACAGAAGTAATATTGTATTTATTCAAATCCAAAGTAAGGTTTTATTCCCCATTCAGCATGGGGAGAAAAGTCTTGTCTTGGATTTGAGTACCAACCTGGGGCAGGTGGCTGCTGCAGCTCTAACCCTGACCCGGGCCCAGAGCTGCCATATGCTCTCTGCTCTGGGCCGGA